CCTTCCACCCAAAGTCGAGACTCGCGCCGTTTATTTACGAGCAATATTTTCGCAACCGTTATCGGTTCCCCGTTTACTTTGTTTTCGTTTCGCGTTCGCTACGAAGCACCGATAAAAACGAAACGTCGCTCGAACGATACAACTGCGAAGGAGGGAAGGGGTTACTACATCGCAGTGCGGTAAAACGAGAAGCAACGTGGAACGTGGCAGGACTATTTTTGCCAGGAAAACGAGCCACGCGGGTCAAAGGATGGAACGAAGACGAAGAGGACGGGAACGAAGAGAACGAGCACGAGAACCCGAGCGAACACGGAAAACGAGAATCGCCGCGAGACGACGAACATCGCCGATAGCCTGGAAAGCGACATATGCCACGATTCCGACGTCGAACGTCTTTGTCCCTCGATCTTGCCCGGTCGGCGTCGCGATCTCTCGAAAGGAAACGAACAGCAAGACCAACGAGAGAACCAAGCAAGAGGTAACGTTTATCGAAAACACTCACTGCATAACTCGTCGTTCGCGTGGTCGTGCGAAAGGACCTGGAGACCCTTTGCTAGTTCGCGACTCGTTCGGTCTTCTTCCGCCCTTCTTGATCTTCGTGTTCTCGCTTCTCGCTATACTCCGGCAACTAAACTCGGACGCGAGAACCGAACGCGATCTCGTTCGACGATTCTTTCGCCGAACAGAAGACGGACAACGCGTACTTACGGGAAACGTACGACGCGAATGGCGTTCCAGGTCCTCGAACGTGGTCAGGATTTCCCCTTCCGTGAATCTCTCCCTTCCTTCGTTTCTTTTCTACGTTCGTTCGCCTCCCCTCTCGCGATACCTCGCTCCCGCCCTCGATTAACGCTCTCTCGCGCGTTCTTTTCAACTCCCCACCACCGTTCCGCGCTTCCCGATCTACCACCGATCCTGCGACCGTCGACCGCCGACCGCCGACCGGCGACCGCTTCTCCTGGTCTCTTATACCTGATCTTGTTTCTTCCTAGTCTTCCCCTACGAGTCAGCTTACGTCGGAGAAGCGACATGCCGACGATACGGATAACGAAGCTGCCTATATAATACTACGCGTAGTAAGTAACCGCACGTGTAGGTACTTGCACGAAACGATCGTGCCATTGATAACTATCGTCAGCGACGCGATAATTCTGCCAACGAACCGCGTCTCGCGTTGCGCGAAGAAAAGCTTGAGAAAAAAAAAAGAAAGAGCCGCGAGTAGCCGTCTCGAGTTACTTTCATTCACGAGGATCGATCGCGTTCGTACCGCTCGAGTAAAAAAACATTCGGCGCTGCTTCGCGTAGCTCTTTCGTCGCATCCGTCGCCGTTTCGATCTGCCCGTTTTTCTCCTCTATTCCGTTTACCACGAGAGTTTGAACGACCAAGAACTACTACCACTTACGAACGACGTATATCGCGCGTCGTACGTCTGCCCCACCCTCTCGATCCTCGGACGCAAGAACGCGTTCTTTCTCGAGTCTGTCGCCATCGTCGTGTCACACGATACCAAAAGGTTTCTCGGAACGCGATGGGTACGACTCTGTCGGACTGTAAACCCTGCGCGATGATTCACGATGACGAACTTTGCGTCAAAGATCAACGATTACTGACTGCTTACATATTACGTACGCGTCTTTTTTTCGTTCTCGACTATACCTATTCCGCAACACGTCCAACGAATTACGTACGAACGAATAACGGACGAGTAACGAACGAGTAACGGACGAGTAACTAACGAGTAACGACCGAGTAACGAACGAGTAACGGACGAATAATTAACGAGTAACTAACGAGTAACGACCGAGTAACGGACGAGTAATTAACGAGTAACGACCGAGTAACTGACAGGTAACGAATAATTAACGACCGAGTAACTGATGAGTAACGAATGACTAACGACCAAGTAACTAAC